CACCGATTAAAATAGCTGAACATGGCTGAAATCTAAGGAAAAAAAGGTGGGAAAATATGCAGCTTTTAACTGAATTTCTCTTACAAAAACTTGATCAAACTTTAATATGTATTGAAAGAATGGTAGAATATGAAGCTTTACCTTTGGATAAAGATAAACAAATGGACTTTGGTTGAGTTTCAGATCAAAAGAAGAACCAGTGAATTGGACTTCATTTGTTATTGTGAAAGTTGATTCTGTATACTTCTCGAACATTATAACCTAAGCTAGAAGGGAGTGAGACAAATTCCATACTTCTATGAAGTAATTCCTTTCCTCTACGAACAGAGGGAGGGAGACTGGATAGATTTATTACCGTTAACTAGTAACTACTTCTGCTTGCACTCTTACATGAAGATAGACCTTTTCTGGAGACTGAATTTACTATATTTAATTAAATAACAATTGACAAATTCAAATTAAAAACCTTTATTGTCAGAGTACAACATGTGTACCATGAGATTGGCTGAACCTCCCTTCGTGCACAATACAATACAACTCACAGTGAAAGACAAAAAATCTTTAGCCCAGTGAATCCTACTAACAAACACCCAGTGTTATTGCACCATGTGAACCTATTGCACGTTGCGCCGGCCCCACATGTCAATCGTACTATGTTGTTGTAGGGTTATTTTTCATTCAGGAGTCTGACAGCCCATGGATAAAAACTGTTCTTCAGCCTGTTTGTGTGGCTGCTTATGCTTCTATATCTCCTTCCAGATGGTAGGAGAATAAGAAAGGGATGACCAGGGTGGGAGTCGTCCATGAGGATTTTCCTCACTCTCCTAAGGCAGTGAGTCCTAGCGATGTCATCTAGTGTTATCGGGGAACAGCCCACAATGTTTTGTGCCTGGCTTACCACCCTCTGTAGTGCCTTTCTATCCGCGGCTGAGAGGATATTAAGAAATAAACATGGATTTTTGATCCAGTACAATCTATTTACAACTTTTGGAATGATCTGGGAAAGTTCAGATGACATTGTACATTTTCTATGAGTGAATTACAATAACAGTTTGTTAACAGTGAGTTTTGTTCTGTTTTACTATTATTGTTTTTCCTGTTAACTATAGCAATAGCAACACAGTCTGGGTCCTCATTTCACCCACCTTGGAAGGATGGAAGGCTGAGTCAACCTTGTGCCGGTGAGATTAGAACCGCTGAACTGCAGATAACAGTCAGCTGAAGTGGCCTGCAGTCCTGCACCCTAACCACTGTGCCACCTCGGCTCTACTTTGTCACTAATATAACATATAGAAAGCAGATCAACAAATTGTTAATAGATTTAGTAATTTAAAATATTTGGGATGCTTGCTTTGCAAGGGATGGAAATTCATATTGTACTAATATATTAATCAGTATTTAACTAGAAGGGATAGATGTGTATGATGTGTTTTTGATGCATCTTTTCAAATGTTCTGTGTTTTGTTTTGTTTTTCTTTTATGTCTTCTTGGATTTTTATTTAGTTTTGTATTTTGAATTTTAACTTTGTTCTGAATAAAATAAAAAATATACAAAGAAAATCCCCATGAAGACTTTAATTTTTGATTTATATAATTACGTCTTTATTTATGGGATTTTTATATATCCTCAATCACATGACTGGACAGGATACAATAGTATGAACATAAAAATTATAAACAATAATCCAAAATACCTTTCCCCTGGATCAACAACCCAAATTCACTACCTGTTATGAAAATTATTATATTATATTATAATGATAATTATTAAATTATTAAAATACAATTCTATTTTAAGCCATTAAAGTACATATGCCCCTAAAACAGTCACATTTTTCTTCAATTCACAGGGAATGCTGAAAAAGATAGTTTGGGTTAATGAATAATAGAGAGGCTCTATGAAACATTAAGTCAAATTTAATATGTGTGTGAAGCAGAACTGATTACACCTTCCCACAATGGAGAAAATCACTACTTGTTATAGTAGACATGCTCCTAAAATACTTAGGTTTCCAAAAGGCAAGCATAAATCTATCTATTAGAAGCAAAAGAACATATAATTACTCCTACCTAAAATATGTGTTTCGGATAAAAAATGCTTTTTTATTGCAAAAGTTTTTTTTTTAATGGTATGATTTTCCTGATGTATTATTATGGTTTCTTCAAATGAAAGAAACCCAGACTGAAGCATATTGATTGCAATGTAATATATATCACCCAGCTAAATGGTTGCTTTGCATAGGAGTTAGAAACTCAGTAAACAAAGCTTTTGTCCACGTCTCTCTATCATATCATTGTACATGTCTTTGCTGCATTTTATTTGTTTATTTAAAATTGTAAATAGTTCACAATGCTCAAGGGTAGCGTTTGCTCTCTTTTAATTAGAAGTGGCCTGTAAGACAAAATGCATAAACATACAGTGGGCCTAGTGCCACATGACTTTCAAGAGGCACAACAATTAAATATAACATGTTTTATGGATTATGTCTCTTCCCGTCATACATAGAATAAAACATAACACGTTTTATGGGTCTTAGCTTTTCCCATCATCAAGATAATAAAATGAAGTGACTGTATAAATAGCAGATTAAATGAAAGTCAATGGATTGGAGCTTTTGCAAAGGGATGGAAAGCCCGAAGCAGTGTGAGATCGCTTCCCCAAAGTCTTTTGTCCATTTGCAAAAACTGTTGGGGTGGAGAAGACAAGTCTTTGTGGGCAGGGTCTTGTGCTCCTTCAGACTCACTGAGGATGCCCAATGCTCTAAAAGCAGATTGTGTATCTTCCTCAGGCAGCCTCGGTGAGTCAGTAAAGCTGAGCAGGGTATGCTCATCCCCCTCAGCCTCTGCTGTTCCGCTTTTGGAACATCAGGAGCAGGTGCCTTGGTGGCCTGGCTGGGAGGAGAAGATGGGAATTGGGCCACATGAGTGGCGGGCATGCTCAGAGCTCTACACACATAAGATAGAAGATAAATCTTTGGGGCGCTGCTTATGCAAGTGGGGCTATGCACATGCACTGGCCCACCTCTTGTGTGGCCCGGTTCTCAATAGACCACGACCTGGTAGTGGCCTGGTAGTGGAGACCCCCTGCTGTAGGATGGGGGAAAAGCAAATATAGAGAAGTTCACTAATTTCCATCCTTAAAACACTCTGTACACTCTAAATAATAACAACACCATTTGCAAGAGTAATGTTCTGGTGGGATAGAATATACAATAGGGTCAACAAATTATTTGTCTTTCTCTTATATAGCCACCCATCTCTCAAATGTGCTTTTGAATGGTGTACAAACACTAATTAAAACAAACAAAAAATGAAAAATCAATTGAACACAAATATAAATAAAATCACAGGACAATGGACCAGCATCATATACACTGTGTAGCTAGGTCCCATTAGATGGAACAACATTAGCAGACAGGACTTAAATAGGCCCCCATGATGGATCTCATGGAACAGGTAGATGTAATTAAAGGGAGAATATTAATGTTTAGCTATGCAAGTACATTTTCCTGTTGGATCAAGGACTAGTGGAGATATTTTTTAACTTTGATTGTATAAAATATATTCTCAACACAATTAAGCACACATTTTTATACTATACAAAGCCTTGTCAATCTGGTGTTATGAAAATTGACCGACAAAAACCAGGTCTAATCTTATGCTTGTGCACATCTGTTCTTTGAATGCATACAAGTGTGAATAATCCTTATGAAATAATACTCTTTATGGAAATCACATAATAAATGCTAATTATGGCATAAAAATGTATGCTATAATAAATCTGTTTTTCTACAACAAGCCCCACCTATCCTCTTTATTTATTTATTAGATTTCTTTGCTATCCATCTTGCCTAGAGGACACTCTGGGCAGCTTACAAACATTGCATCGTCTTGCAGTGTATCCCATGTGAAAACTTCAGGTCAATGTTGCCCTGAATATTACAGATATATAATAAGGTATTTTCCTGAACTACTTTTTTACCATTTTCTACCAACTCTATCTAATATAGTCAAGAACTTTGTTGCTGAACTGGTTCACTAACTGGTTGATGACAATTGTAATCCAATACGTAGGTAGGGTCCAAGTTATAAAAGGTATCCTAGATACTTTCCAATTTATATCTACAACAGGTCTTGCTATCTACCATTTCCATTGTACCAATCCTTTTTTATCCTTTTTCCCTTAAAAATGAAAGCATTGTCTGTTTATATCTAAATAATGGAATGCTTTTGTTCCTACCACAACATCCTGCTTTAGAAATTCTTTTGTTTTGTATCTTTCTATTGTAATGCAACTAAAATAGGTAATACTTGCATTCCCTACAATTAAATATGTAAACCGTAATCCTCATTAAGTTTTCTTAAAGCTAAAATTCTGAGCTTCCCTGATAGTCATTATCCTACTAAATCTTTGTCTTCTCATTCCCTTTATGTCAAGAACATCAGCTAGAAGGAGGTAACTTATGCTAACATGTTTTGAAGATAATTGATTGAAAATGATAACCATATACAAACATTTTAAGCACAAATAAAATAATAACCAAGAAAATGTGTGGGCATATGTTTTATTAGCCTTCAATTGTACCAATATATTTAATTCTTTAAGGAGTTTTTTGATAGAAAGACAAACATTCTTTCTTTGGATTTGTCAGTAATTAATTTCTTTTCTCTGAAGACAATGAATTGTGAAATGTGAATTAAAAGAAAATTCTTGTTAAATATTCTCACAATGTATCACAGTGACCTAGCTTTTTCCCCAAATCATTTAGAATCATGCAAGTTTGAGGAGTGTCTTGTTCCTTTCAGAACTTTATTCAGATAAATGCTGTATTGTGGGATTGCAGAAAAATGAATATTGATCTATGATCTGTTCTGATATTATTTTGGTATCTGAAGTCATCTGAGGAGTTTTTGCATCAGAAAACCTTCTGATAAAAACCATTCATAAACTTCATCCATATGAAAATAACTACTACAAGGCAAATAAATTATATACTGTACTTACACAATGCTCAGTATACCCAGTCAAATGACATCTTCTTTGGTTTTCATATCTTTAAGTCAGCATGATCATTTGTAGCAGACAATTTCTGAAAAGAATGAAGCAATAAATGCTCTGAATGCAAATTTCGATAATCCTAGATTGGCTTTAAATTGCACAATAGAATCATTTTTACCTGAAAATAAAATCCATCAAGCAAGTATCCTGTTTATCCCTCATTAATTTCAGTGATGGTTGAATATTTATTAGAATGCATCAGGATTTAAAGAAAATTGCATGATAATCTTCACTGCTAAAATATGTGGTGCATAATTTACAAAGCTCCACATTTTTCCTCCTCCCTCCAAGTATTGCTTTGTTGAATATTAGACTACAATTAAGTGCTTTCAATAAATGAAATCAATGAAATAGTCCATTGTTAATGAGAAACCCATTTAAGACATTCTTATTAGTTATTTGCTCAATACTACTAACCCTAACCCTAACTCTATCTCTATACCTACCTACCTACCTACCTACCTACCTACCTACCTACCTACCTACCTACCTACCTACCTACCTAAATATGATACATTCCTAGCATTTAATTACTTCAATTATTACTCAAGGTTTGCTTGGAATGACCATTAAAGTTAATCAGTAGATAATTATATGTGTGTGTGTGTGTGTGTGTGTGTGTGTGTGTGTGTTTTGTTGTTTTTTATTTGTGCTGATAAATAAAATAAAGGGAGACTAGTATAGATCTATTTCAAGCTATTTAGCTCTCATCAGCTAGCCATACCCTTACTGGGATTCGAACCTGTGCTGTATTGCATCTTAGGCAAATGTCTTAGCCATTAAGCCACAGGTCTCCTCCTTATCAGCTGAAGCCAGGGAAGAAGGTATATATTTAGTGTCACAACCCCTGGTAAGCCCCAATTATGGGAGGAAGCTAACTGCTTATATCATCTGTCAATCGGCTCGTCACAAGAGTCCATCACGTGACATAACATTCCACTTATGGATAATTCTTTGGCCTAGGTCCTAAATAATAGCAAGAATAGATCAAAGGAAGTATTTCATAGAGCTCTTAAATCATATTGGCAAGTTACCCAATTTATCAAGAAGATAAATGACAATTCTCCAGAGACAAGTGACTGAAGTACATCAGAAGAGTGAATTGAGATGCATCTTGGGATATATATTTTGTGGGTTCATTTGAACTGCCAATGAAAACATGTCACTGTTTTTGGCAAAGGCAGACTTCTAAAAGGTTTTCCTTAATCCAACAGGCCACATTTCTTTAGCTGCTGTTGTCACAGACAAGCTTAAGATGATCAATCAAGTAAAAGAACTGTAAATTAAATAATCAAAGAAGGAACTGGAAAAGGAAATGCTAAATGCTATACTTGTCTTTAATCCTAATAAACATTTTAATAAAGATATGGAAGGTTCACAATGTTTTTATCTCATATATGTTACAAGACAGAAGTCCCACTAATTAAGCATGACTCATCAAGCATTTCCCTTGGGGAAACAAGACCAACAAGACCCAATAACACCTAAGATTGGTGCAAGTAGGCCAAGATTAACAAGGAAGGAAGAGGTAGAAATTCAAAAAAAAAAATGTTCTTTTTCAGAAAAATTGTTTTAATGTCAAGGTTAACCAGGTCAGGAAATAGATACTACAGGAAAAATTACAACTATTGATATAGGCTGTAGTCACAAAAGTCTGGCAATGTTTCTCGTTCCCTCTCTATTATACTGTACTAACAAAAGAGAGTCAAATCTTGAATTTCTTTCTTATCTCTTCCGGCTTCCCTGTTCATGTTTTCCTAATAGCTGCTACATATCATCTTCAAGGGGCTCTCTGCACTCCTTTATACAGAAACAGCTTATATTTCTTGGAGTTTTCATATGAGAAAGGAATCTTCTCAAATGAAAAAATGAAATTCTCAGAAACAACCCATTTTACTTAACTAGATTGTTTGTATGAATTAAGTTTCAGGAAAGTCTTGGATTTCATAAAATACGTGTTCAAGCTTTAACACATTTATGAGAAAAGGATTCCAGAATAGAGATGACTTCAGAAATGCTGGATTTTAAGCATGTTGGAGATTTTTAACAGTGGTTTTTGTTCTTATTGACTGAGATGTATCGTGCAAGGGGAGCCATATAAAATTAAGTGGTATATGTGTCTATTTATTGTACCTAATGATTTACATGCTATCCATTTTTTTCAGATAATTGAGAGAGTAAAGCAAATTACTGTTTTAAAATTAAGTTCCCCAAAATGTTTCGTGAGTGCAAGTTCTCTTTCAGCCCTTCTGGGATGGCAGTAGAACTGGTCTATGTAGTGCAAAAAGAGAGATTGGGGGCAGGGATTAAATATAATCTCTATTGTTTTGAAGAGTGCAACATATCAAAGATAAATAATGTTGTAGGGGAAAGCAACAAAGCATGATGTTTTACAACATCCACTTCCATTGGAGTTACAATAAAACCCGAAGTCAGACCTTGGGAAGTACGCCATACATTGATTTGTTTTTGAAGTTTTGATGGTCTATGGAATGCTGTGTAATCTTTCTTAAACCCTGCAATAAAAAGTATAGATGGTTTGCAGAAGATCGAGCCATTTGCTCTGACATAGATGTGATGGATTGCTTGAACAGATCATGCCTCCATTATTGGTGATACCCACTTTTTTGGTTTTGCAATAAGCATGTAAGGAATTCAACAGTATACCACTAGAAAGAAAAACAGAGTAAAAGAAAGAAGAACAAGCTAATGGACTAAATGTTCCTGAAAATATTTAAACAGAAGTTCAGTAGTTGACGTTGTTTGTTTGAACAATTTTTATGTTGCAATGTTATCCAGGTAATACTAATGATTCAGGTATTAATTCCAGCAGTACAATTTTAGGCTGCTGGAAACAAGAAATGGGGAAAGGGAAACTACATGCAGTCATGTATTGTTGATCCCTTCTTAGTGTCTATACAAGTCTATATTCAACAATTGTGTTATCAAAAAGTTCACTTTTGAAATTTACTCTGTTCTGTAGAATATTATTTTAAGAATTATACAAAATATTCTAGCTTGGGGATAAACATACTCTTGATCTGACATTATTACTATAGTTGTTATGGTTGACCACACCATCAGCTTGATGTTTAGGCTGGATTTGGCAATTTTATCCACCTATCAAGTCTTTCCTAAGGAACTGTGATGGACAGATATTTTTTGTTTAATAATATTAAAGATATTGGTTGCAGGTTGTAAACTACTCCAGGTAAAGCTGCTTTTTACAATTGACTGATGATAATTTTGTCAATGGATTCAATAGTGCTCTAGATGTTTGAAGCTTCATTTAAGATCCCTATTACTGTTCATACAATATTTTCTTTCTTTTGCCAGAGTCATTCTACTTTTATTTGCTGTGCTTTAAACTTGGGATTTTCAAAATAATTATATATAACTGTTTTACAAATAGCTATTATATAATAAATATTTTAAGATGTATGAGTAGCATATATTGTAAAAGTTAATATTATTAGAAACAACAACAATAAAAACCACGAGGGCTACATTTTGGCAATAATATAATATATTAGAATAGAATAAAATATAATGGAATGGAATAGAATGGAGTAGAATAGAGTAGAGTGCAGTGCAGTGCAGTGCTGTGCAGTGCAGTGCAGTGGAATGTAATAGAACAGAGTGGAGTCAAATAATATATTGGGAACTAGCTACTGGACACATATACTACTTGTATTACAGCAAATATACTATTTGTATTTGCTATAAAAGTAAATGAAAAGAGGAAGATGTGAAGTCTATTCTACTGAATATAGACCAATAAAAGATAATATTTGTAACTCAAGGTTGAAATGAAGGATCCTTGGTATTCTCTGATCTTGGTTGTTTTCTGGCAAGTGTTTTATTACCCAAAGTAGGTAATCAGTATCAGTGCCAGTAAACTAGCATTGATAATGTTACCTAGTTTGGGTAATGAAATATCTGCAAGAAAATAACCAAGCTCAAAGAGGATCCCTCACTGAAGATATAGCCTGAGGTCTCACTCTAGTTAACATTTTGTATTATTTAAATCAAAGCAAGAGGAGGCAGGATACATTCAGTGATTTCTGATATCAAGAACATCTAACATGGAATGCATTTTAAAAAAAAATAACACAAAATGCTCCTGAAGCTATATGAAACCAGAACTGGAAATGAAATAATGCACCATTAAAAACAAATAAATAAATAGGCTAATAATCAGTCTGTCAGGATTCCAAATAGCATCCAAAAATAAATCAGAGTCCAAGGCAATGTATTGCTCAAAGTTCCAGTTTATTAAGAGAGACATATTGGCACATCTGGGAAAAAACGAATCTGAAAGCTTCCAGGTTTTCCCCATCTAGTTGAAAGTTCAGGATCTTGCCCCCCACAAACAATTCCACCACATGGTCCAATCTCCCACTGCCATGTTGGCAGTTCCACCCATCCAGTTCCTGTCAGGTGCAGAGACAAAGAATGGCCTTGGCTTTCTAGAAAGAATTTTGTTTTGGCTACATAGTAAGTAACTCCGTACAATTGCCCCTCCCATTTTCCCACAATAGAAAAAGGCAAGGTGGAATAGTAGAAAGTGTGGCAGGTCAAAGCTCCAAAAGAAAACTGCCAGCCTGACAGAGTCACCCATTGGCTCTAGAAAGACATTACAGGAAAAACAATAGAACCAGACCAAGTTCCAAAAATGATCTTTATAAAGACAGAGCCAAAATAGAACAAAAGGACATCACTATTTGTCATCTACAGCTCATAGTTCAAACTCGTCAAATATATTATTAATAAAATACACTCATATGGGCCAATGACATTGTATTTTCTCAGGCTCAGGATGGCAGGCCCACATTCACATATACACAAGCTCCCAATTTGAAACAGGTTCTTAAAAGCAACAAGAAACAACAGAGTAATGATGCTAACGTGAGGACCAAACCCTGCAACAAATCCAAATATCGCCATTGCCCCCATATTTATAATTATAGTACCCAACAACTTCAATCATAAAATTGGGAACATCTTCATATGTGAAATAAGTTATCGTCT